CGATTGCGGGGCGGAAAAAGCGCGGGAAGGGGGGAATATAACAAGTGATGCAATTGTACCAAACCAGTCCTGGCTTTGCTTGTGACTGCTACGTTACACGAGTAAACCTCTTTTGTGAACCACACGTGTCACGGGAGTTTCTCTGTCGAACGGGGCAAACCTTACACAAATAACCATCCAATTTCACAACACACATGAGCCACCTATCTATAATTTCTATATGGTGAAAGCACGTGGTGCTTTGAAGTTTGTGAACCGTTTCGAATGTTCAGTATTTCTGCATAAATATGACCTAAAATGTGACCTGTTGTCCAAACAAGCCCTAAAACTAGAAGAAGAGAACTCAATTAAACCAATGAGTCAAAAACATTATATTGGTTCATTTATGTATTGAGGAAAATGATCCAAAGCTACATATTTGTGTGTGGCAGAAGTACGTGAACCCCTAGGATTATCAGTTCATTTCAAGGGGAAATTAAAATCAGATGGTTCAATCAATGGGCTGATAGGTGTGAATGTGGGAGGTCCTGCCTTATTTAAAGAATAGAATTCTGGGTACTCATTATCAAAGTCTGATCTTCACAAAACATGTATGTGGAAGTGTGTCATGGCTCAGAGACTTCTGAGGATCTCTGAAAAACAGTTTATGCTCACCAGGCTGGAAAAGGTTACAGAACCATTTCCAAAGAGTTTGGACTCCACCAGTCCGCTGTCAGGCAGATCATGTACAATTGGAGGCAATTCAACCACTGTTACCCTCCTCAGGAGCAGTCAACCAAACAAGATCACACCAAGAGCAAGGCTTATGAAACATGCCAGGTCTCAAGCCCAGGGTAACATCCAAGGAACTAAAGGCCTCTCTTGCATTGGCAAATGTCAGTGTTGGCTTGAGTGAAGTGTGTGATGTTTGAACTGTATCCCATCTGTGAAAAGTGGCAGTATCATGGTTTGGGCCTACTTTGCTGCCTCTAGATCAGGATGGATTGCCATCATTGATGGAACTATGAATTCTGAATCGTACCAGCAAATTCTACAGGGAAACATCAGGGTATCTGTCCATGAACTAAAGCTCAAGAGAAAGTGGCTCATGCAGCAAGATGACCCAAAACTCAAAAGTTGTAAGACCAAAGAATGGTTAAAGCAAAAGAAAGTTCATGTTTTGGAACGGTCAAGTCAAATTCCTGACCTTAATCCTATAGAAATGGTGTGGAAGGACCCGAAAACGGGCAATTCAGGCAAGGAAGCCCACCAACATCCCTGAGTTGAAGCTGTTCTGTAGAGAGGAGTGGGCTAAAATTCCTCCAAGCCAATGTGCAGGACTGATCAAGAGTTATCAGAAATGTAGTTGCATTTATTGCTGCCCATGGGGAGGTACACCAATTACTGAAAGCAAAGGTTCACATACTTATTGCCACGCACAAGTATTTAGCTTTAGATCATTTTCCTCAATACACATTCTGCTGGCCTAGTTCTAACTGTACAGGGCACAACACTATTTTTATTCTTTCCATGCCTTCATTGTTAAAGCAAATAGAATATACTGCATTCTTCATTTAAACTATACTCAAGCATTTGCTAAGAACCAAATATGAGATGTATTTACAGAGAATTGTACTTGATCTATCTTATATGAAGGAAGCATTCCCCAAAACCAGATCAACGTTTTTCTGCAGCAGACCTATTGTTTTTGCCTGTAGCTGCATCTTTGATCACAGCCAAAGTATACCTAACACTGCCAATGTTCTATTTTGGAAAATAAGATAGTGGCCAGGTTTTGACATTAAAAATATTGTATGCTTTGCAGTTGGTAAATAATAAACAACTTTGAATTACAGCCATCCCTTGAATTTCCCACTTGTCTTATGCGTCTCTGTAGTGCACGCTACAAAATTTCATCAGTTTTGTTCCAATTCGGAATTCCTGAGTCTATGATTTAGCTTCCAAACCACAGTGAAACTTCTTTAAGCTATTCTTACAGATGATAACCCTCAAGAAATTGGTTCTTCAGCCTCACATTTGGGCTTTGTTTCGTGTCAAAAGCCAAGTTTGGGTTGTGACTTAAGAGAAACAAGAAAGTGGAATAAAATATCTGGTTTCAGCCTCTTCAATTTATTTTTTAAATCAAGCCCACCATACAGAAATCACCTGGCAATTCCATCTGGATTCAGTATGATAGTTCTTAGTTCTTGAAGAGAAGGCAACAACTAATCACCTGCAGGTTAAATGAAAATTCCAGTGGCTTTTAACAGGGCAGAAATATTTAATTTCATTTTTAGAACTGTACAAGATATATAATACAGTACTTTTCAAACACAGTTCCTGCAAAATTTGTTAAATATTTATTCATCCGAGTATTTCAAGAGTTCTTGAAGGTACCAAAAAAGTATTAAATAAAGATACTCTCTCACTCTCACACACACACACTTACTTAGCAAAGAATGTTTGGAAATTACTTGTTCCTCCAAACAAGAACCCTACAACTTTCCAAAAGAAAAAAGTAAAACTTATTAGCCAAATCTTTCTCTGCTTCATAACAGGCCTTTCAATTGCATACAAATTTAAACTTATGTTCAGTATTTTTGTGGTCTCCAACTATATTGCGTAGCTGCAAGTACATCATATCAAGAATACAACTATTGTAAAGCCATCATTGCCCCACCCGTACATTTATCCCAGGCAACCTTTTTTTTTTTATTTAGAAAGATTTTATTTATAAAAGTGGCATTCACCACACTGATTTTCTGCTAGTTTACATTCTCCTCATTGTGCTCACTAAAGTTTGTATTTAGCTTGCAAAACAAACGATACCTCTGACAACATTAAGTATGAAGTTAAAGCCGGATACAAACAGTATAGAAATATAGACACAATGATTTGTTGACCTAGGACTTTTCTAGTTTCAAGAAAGAGGTTGTGCATAAAAGCAGATACAGCACAAAGACACTCTGCCCTTTTTGGAATTGGTGAAGTCACCCTAACACTGTTTCAGCCACTTGGCAAGAAGATGCAGAAAGATGCTTGTGCAGCAAAGCTACCAGGTTTTCAGCACATCTGTATCATGCTCCCAGGATAGGGTACTTGAGCAGAGCCATGATGGCTGCACTGATGACTCCAGAAATGGGGACAGTGACAAACCAGGCCAGGAAAATATTGCGGAACAGACGCCAATCCACAGCTTTCTTTGACCGCAGCCAGCCTACAGACACCACCGATCCCACCTTGAAGAGACAAAGTACAGAACTTAAAGCTCGTCAGTATTCAGCTGGAACAAAAATGCCATTCACAGTTTTCACACATATTTTCCCTAGATTCAAGTTTGTGCAAATACTTCCCAAAAAGAAGACTTTTGACCAATAAAACACCAAAGCATTAAAAACTCTCCACATTTCAGAAAAATGTAGAATTCATCAGATCCACAATATTATGACATGCTAGCACATGGATCTAAATACAGCCTTGCAATGAAACCCAAAGAAAGTATATTCTAAGGTTAATAGAAAGCCAAATGTGATCAATATAATGGGTGAACAGTTGCCTTGGATAATTAAAAATTATTCTCCCTGAACCTAACTATTACAGTGATGCCTCAGGTCACGAATGCTTCTGTTCACGACCAATTCGGGTCACGAACAGCTCCGGTCGCAAAATTT